AACGTCCGGTCTGGTCTGTTGGGCCCGAACTTGGCCTTGATCAGGTCCGGTCTGTTGGGTCCGAACTTGGCCCCGATCAGGTCCGGTCTGTTGAGCCCGATCTTGGCCCCGATCAGGTCCGGTCTGTTGAGCCCGATCTTGGCCCCGATCAGGTCCGGTCTGTTGAGCCCGATCTTGGCCCCGATCAGGTCCGGTCTGTTCCTCGTCGTCGTCGATGTAGGTAGTCGGCGAGTGGGGTGGGGTCTCGTAGGCGTAGTCCTCCTCGGGGCTTTCTAGCGTCTCTCGGGGTGGTTGGGATGTTTTGCACCTCGTGTGATGTAGCCACGCGTTTTTCTCTCCCACTTTCACGGCAGTCGGGGAGGTCAGTAGTACTTGGTAAGGACCTTCCCACGCAGGTTGGAGGGGTGCCTTCTGATAGACCTTTACCAGGATCTAGTCGCCGGGATGGAAAGAGTGGGCTTGGACGTTGATAGGCAGGTTTTGTCCCTCGATAGCCGCGTACTGGTGGAGGCGTAGTAGCTGTGTCTGAAGCTGAATAATATAGTTAGTGAGTTCCGCCTCCCCCACCTCCAGTTCTGAGAGAGGAAACAAGGTGTTGTATACGGGAGGGGATCTCCCGAATAGAAGTTCGAATGGGGAAAGTTTCAAAGGTCCGGTTGGGGCACTTCGTATATTATGAAGGACCAGTGGGAGCGCATTTACCCATTTCAGCCCCGAGAGTCTACAGAGTTTTCCCAGTTGTATTTTTATCTCTTGGTTCATACGTTCTACTTGACCAGAGGACTGTGGGTGGTACGGTGTATGAAGGTCCCACTTTATTTGGAGGGCCTTGGCCACTAATTGTACTACTTCAGCAGTGAAGTGGGTTCCCCTGTCACTGTCTAGGCGGCGGGGTATCCCGTATCGAGGAATGATGTCTTGAAGGAGGGCCCTAGCAACTACCGATGCGGTGGCCTTTCGACAGGGGAATCCCTCCACCCAAGAGGAGAATTGATCTATTATAATCAGGGCATGCTTGAAGCCTTGGCATTGGGGTAAGTCGATAAAGTCCAGCTGTAAACTCTCAAAGGGGACAAAGGCCCATGGTCTAGCTCCTGGTGGTTTCCTTTTGGGCTCACGTTTGGGGTTGAAGTGATGACAGGTAATGCAGTTCTTGGAGGCTGCTGTAGCTGCGGTGGCTATCCCTGGGGCGTACCAGGACCTCGTAACGTGTTCTATTAATCTCCATTTTCCCCAGTGAGTCTGTTGGTGGAGGATTCTCACTAATTTTGGAACCCAGGCTCTCGGAAGGACGGTCCTGCCATCGGGGAGGGTCCAAATACCATTCTGTTCAGTTGCGCCCACGGATTCCCATTTTGATTTCTCCTCCTCTGGGGCTGAATCATATATTTGTGTTGAGTCTATGTCTGTAGGTAATTGTAAGGCTTGGAATTCGGACTCATTATTTGGGAGGCGAAGGGCAGCCATTTGGGCAGCTTTATCAGCCCGTCTGTTTCCCTTTGAGACCGGGTCCCTCCCTTTGGTGTGTGCTCTACAGTGGACTACTGCTATTGCGCTCGGTAAGTGAATGGCTGTAAGGAGTCTCTCCACTAGGGCGGCATGTGAAATTTGGGAGCCGGCTGCAGTTAAGAAGCCCCTTTGGAGCCAAATTTGACCAGTTGTGTGTACGAGCCCGAAGCAGTATTTACTGTCCGTGTAAATAGTGGTTCTCTTCCCTTCGCCAATTTCACAAGCACGTATGAGTGCAATTAATTCAGCGGCTTGGGCGCTATACTGCGGGTTAATTGGGTTAGATTCCAGAACTTCAAAGTCAGAGACGACTGCGTACCCTGTCTTCCGTTCCCCTTCGATGACCTTTGAGCTGCCATCAGTGTACAGTATGAGGTCGGGGTTTTCTAAGGGAAGGTGGTCTAGATCCTCCCGTGGTTTCTCAGCTTGGCGGACTATGGTAGCGCAGTCGTGGTGTGGGGTGCCATCATCAGGAAGGGGTAATAGGGTAGCCGGATTCAGGGAATTGACGCGTTTGATGGTGACGTTAGATGGGGTTAATAGAAGGGCTTCGTATCGGTTTAGGCGAGAGTTTGAGAAGTGATGACAGCCTCTCAAGGTTAAGAGGGTGGAGACCAAGTGGGGGACATGGATGGTAATTTCATGTCCCAAGACTGTTTCCTGAGCTTTCTCAAGGAGGATCGCAGCGGCGGCAATAGCTCTTAAACAACTCACTGCTCCCTTTGCGGTGTTGTCTAGTTGTAGGCTGTAATAGGCTACTGGTCTTTCCTGATCTCGGAAGGGTTGGGTTAGGACCCCTGAGGCGACTCCCATTTGTTCATGGATGAACAGGTTAAAAGGAATCCGGTAGTCTGGCAGTCCTAAAGCAGGAGCGGATCTTAATTCTCTTTTTAAGCGTTCAAAGGATTTATAAGCTTCCTCCTCCCAGACCAGAGTATCTGGGTGGTCTTGGCGGGTCATAGCGGTTAAAGGCTTCGTTATTTCGCTATAGCCGGCAATCCATGCTCGGCAGAAGCCTGCCATACCAAGGAAGCCACGTAATTGCCGCTTAGTCTTGGGGAGGGGAATTCTGGTGACAGCCTCGATTCTATCGGTGGCTAGGCTTCGGGTACCCACTCCTAGGATGTGCCCGAGGTACTTTACTTCTTGCTTACAATATTGTAACTTCTTAGGGGACACCTTGTGTCCTTTCCGGGCTAGCTCTGAAAGGAGATATTTAGTATCTAATTTGCATGCCTCCTCACTAGTAGAACACAATAAAATATCATCTACGTAGAGAAGGAGGGCGGAGTTAGCAGGCAGGCATACGTCTTGTAGGTCTTGATGTAATATCACGGAAAAGATCGCGGGTGATTCTACGTAGCCTTGGGGCAGCCTGGTCCAAGTTAGTTGGCTGGGTCCCCAGGTAAATGCAAAAAGGAATTGGCTGGCGGGGTCCAAGGGTATACTGAAGAAGGCGGAGCATAGATCTGCTGCTGAGTACCAAGTTGTTCCCGCCGGGATGGCGTTTAAGAGAGAGTTGGGGTTGCCCACGACTGGGTGGCGGGGTATTACGAATTGGTTTACCAGTCTTAGGTCTTGGACAAAACGGTACCGAACTGGGGCTCCTTCTGTGGAGGGTTTCTTTATGGGGAGCACTGGGGTGTTACAAGGTGACGCACAGGGAACAAGGATCCCTTTGCTGAGGAAATCTTCTATCATAGGTGTCTATCCGTCAATTGCTTCTTTGGGTAGAGGGTATTGCTTGGTGCAAGGGAAGGGCCGATCAGTTCTATAGGTGATCCTCACCGGGGTGGCAGATAATAGCAATCCTACAGAAGTTGATTCCGTGCCCCACAATGAAGGAGGTAATTCATTCTCTAATTCTGGGGGAAGTTCGGGAAATTGGCGATCTAACTTTTCCTCTAATACCATGCCCTGAAATGCAGGGACAGAGTCTTCGGGCATATACAGGTAGATGCCATCCTCAGAGCATTTTATGGTGGCGTTGAGTTTACAGAGTAGGTCTCTGCCAAGGAGATTCACTGGACTGCTAGTTAGGAGGAAGGTATGTTCTGCCAATAAGGGTCCGAGGGTGACTTTGGCCGGTTGTGAGAGAGGGCAAGTGCGGGGTATCCCATCCAGTCCCATAACTTTCTTGGTCTCTGACCCTGGTTCTAGGTGGCTGCTAGTCAAGGTCGAGTATGTGGCTCCTGTATCTAATAAACATCGATAGGGGTGGCCGTCGATCTCAATCGTACAGATAGGGTCATCTGGCGATAATGCTAGGACAGGGTAAATGGCTTGGGCCGGACTGAGATCCCCTTTTAGTTGTCAGTATGTGTCTTGATCTTCAGGAGGTGGCTGGTTCGGGGGTGTAAGGGAGGAGCGGTGGCATTTGCCCAAGAATGAGTGGTTGGAGTCATGGTGGGCATTTGAATCTGTGTGCCCGGTTGAGGTCGTTGGTTTGGAGGTGCTTGCATGGTAGGTTGTTGGTTGCCATATCCCTGGGTTATGCTGGGATGTGGGCGCGTCGGGAAAGGAGGATAATTGGTCTGAGCAGGAAAGGGTTTAGAGCCTTGTACTCCATAGGTTGTGGTGTTTAGGTAGGGGCAAAACCTTTTTATGTGTCCCTCTTCTTGGCAGTAATAGCATCCTCCGGTGTTGGGTCCCCATGGTCTGTGGGGAGCGGGGGGTCCTCCTCCCCGGCCCCCCCTCCCTCGGTTGAAACCTCTGCCCCGGCTGGGGCTAGGCTCCATGCTCAGCGCTAAGATTTGTTCGATCTCAGGTTTAGCCTCCTTTCGTTTCCTTTCATCTCGAGAATTATAAACTGATTTGGCGATGGATAAGATTTCGCTAACGCTCTTCCCATCATATCCTATTTGGAGATTTAGGGCTTTTCTTATATCTGGGCTGGCCTGGTCTTTGAAGAAACCCTTAACGATCACTTCATGTTGGGGGTTCTCCGGGTCTATCCCTCCCCAGGTCTTGATGGCGGAGACCAATCTAGTGTAATAATCCGATGGATGTTCATTTGGTCCCTGTAGTACAGTCTGGACCTTCGTCCAATTGACAGTACGCTGTCCAGCGGCTTTTACACCGTTTAAGATAGCTTTCTTAAATAGATTCAAGCACCAAATCCCGTCGGTGGTATTGTAGTCCCATGTAGGTTCTATACGCAGGCACTGGGCTGAGAGAGCCGCTAATGCCTCGGGACGTCCCCTCTGGTAGTCTGGTGACTCTATGGCCTCTCCGGCTTTGGTCAGAATGTCCGCTTTTTCAGCTTCATTGAATAGGGCGTTTAAAAGGACGTGGACATCTGGCCAAGTGGGGTTGTGAGTGGAAAAGATGGCGCTGATCTGGCGATGGCATTTATCTGGGTCATCCCTTAGAGAGGGCATTTGATTCGACCAGGTTACTAGGTCGGCAGTATAAAAGGGCTGGTGCGTATAAACCATCCGGGGAGCCCCGTTGGGTTGGATGGGTGGAATCGGTAGGGCCCTTAGGGGCATCTGGACCACTGTGGAGCTTTCCTGTCCAGAAGTTCCCGGGGTTTCTTCGGTTCCTTCTATAGGGCTCTCTGTAAGGCTACGGGTTCCTATGATGGGGTTCTTCTTTTTGGCTTGTAACCTCGTGAGCCTCTGGTTCTTACTTCCTCGTGCCCCTCCATCCCCCGTTTCCTCGTCACTATCCGAGCTGTCGCTAGGGATGGGTGGTGTCGGTTCCCTATAGTAAAAGGGAACCAGGGCTTGTTCCACTGTATCATCCGCGAAGTGTCCTTCGTAAGGGGGGGGCATAGGCTGCCTTCCGGGATTTAATATGGGCAGCTGATACGATGGTGTTCCCTTCGAGACTTGGAGTAGTCCTTTAACTGTCTCGAAGGCTGCCAAGTATTCTAACTGGCGGGGTTTTTCTTCCATTAAGTGTCTCTTTAGGTGTTTCAGTCGGTCTTCGTTAAACGAACCTCCCTTTGGCCAACGCAATTCTGGTCGGGCGGAAGTGGTGTTGGCGGGCCAGATTTCTGTGCAGAGGTTCTCTAGTTTTCGTTTTGACAGAAGTTTGTGGCCAGGAATCGACTTCCAATGGATGATTACAAATTCGAGAGGAGAGTCAGGGTCCCTCTGGGACGGGGATGGCTTTCTAGAAGCCTTCCTCCCAGAGTGAGCCCGCTCGTGCTTGGAAGCCTGGGTACCCATTCTATGGTTCACGCGTGTCTGGGTAGAAAGAAGGGAGAGAGAGATATAGGGTCGGTGAGGGTTTATAGGGGCCTGGGTATCTTAAAGAAGTGTTCTCGTTGCTTGGCAACTTCCTAATGATTTAGCGAGCTCTTAATATTCGGTTCTCTTTTCCTAATTTCCTCCTTATCCTTATTTAACAACCTGGGGTCCCTTTCCACTCTGCCAAACCCGCCCAATTCCTCATGGGCTATCCCCCCTGGCAACCTCCTACCTAGCGTTACAGTCTCAGGAAAAGGGGGCCCTACTGGACGCCCGCGCTGTGCGGTGCCAGATCGGGTGGTCCCCGGATAGGATTCCGAATCGAAAATCCCCCTTGCTTTCGGAAGCGGGCTCACGATACACGTGGTCCGACCGGTGCGGCTGGGATTGGGATAGAAAAGCCAGACCACTTCCTGCCTCCTAGGAAGGACGCTGGGGAAGCTCAGAAAGAGAACTCCAACCCCTTGCTTTCAACTGGGATGCCCGTTGCGGAGAGTCGGCTATTTTTCAAGTCGGCTCTCTCCGTCTTACTTTTGGGCTCCCAATTGGTGCGGCTGGCTGGAGGGTTTAGAAAAGAGATAGAGCTCAGAACCCCCCTTTCGGGTCGACCGGTGGTCCACGGTCTCTCTCACTAACCGGACCAAGAGAAAGGTGAGAAGGAACGATAGAGAGGAGGGCAGAGAATTCAGTTGCCAGGAGACTTCCACCCCTTCCCACCAGTGCACTGGATTTTCCTATACTCACGCGTCTTCTACGATGATCCCGGGATCGCTGAATAAGCCGGCTGGATCCCTCTTTGCTCCCCGGCTGAACTCCTAGGGCTTTCGATGGCCCGGTAGATGGCCGGAGGTCCAAAAGGATCTTCCCAGGCAAAATGGCCCGGAGCCGGCTGAAGATTTCGGGGCCCCCGGTCAGCAGCTCGGGAGAACCGCCAGCCCCAACGTTGGGCGCCAACTGCTACGGTAAAATCTGGGTGCGGGGTTACTCTGCCACCCAGCTCGTCGGACTGAGTCCGCGGGTCCCTGCGGGAGAAAATGAGCTCAGCCGGAGACGGGAGCAAGTTCCAGGAGATCCAAGTTTATTGCGCAACAGGTTCAAGACGAGATTGAACCCCGAGTAAGGGGTGACAGGAGTTTTTGAAACTTCCCTCCATGTCCCATAATACAGTGCGAAACATGTCATGAATACATTACAAAGAGGTTGGGTTACATGGGTGACATCATGAATATATCACGAAGAGGTTGGGTTACACAGATTAGCATAGAGAACAGGGAGGGGGGAATATGCAGAGCTGAAGATATGCGTAGATAAGCACTTCCTGAGTACCGGTGATGAGAAGACAATGGTCCGAATATGTAAAGTCTGCCACCTGGTATTGCCCGGAGGAAGGGCCGGGCAAAGTGATCTGACCAGATTAGGGTCTTCCTGAGTATGTGACTCCTCGCTCGAGGGATTATGGAGGCCGAGAAGGTATCATGGAGTCCTGGAAAGGCTGAGTCGATTGACACCAGGACCAAGGAAATCGGAGCTGGGGTTGATTTTATATGAATTTAAGAAGTTTCAGTCTATTTCGTACGCTAATAATCGAAACGGAAACAAACTGGATACATTTGACAGTTTTACGAGCTAAACTGGATACATTGTAACAAGGTTTGACACTTTTACGAGTTTACAAGTTTCGATTCCATTGTTCTCTCAGCGGGAGCCGTCAGCAGCTTGTCAAGAGGTTAAATGAGGCGTGCAGAGGCTCGCTGAGCTGATTCTGCAGAGCGGATGCACGTTTCTGATTGGTCAAGACGCGGCCATTGGAACAAACGGGAGTGTATTTTGACACGGTCGACTCATAATAAAGATGGAGCGAGAGGAGGGAAAGGGACTTGGGAGTTTTGGGCTTATTTCGCCCGTGGAAAAGGGGAAAAGGGTTGTGTGTAGTGCTTGTGCGACAGTGAAGAGGCTGGGGAAGGGGTGCAGAGTGCAGTGGGCGCTCTTGAGGTCATCGTTTCGGACGTAGGAGGGGCACCCCCCCATTTCCGTATCAACTGCTTAGTCAAAACTGGATAAATAATTCAGTGTTTGTTTTTTCTTAGAGGGTTAACATAAGCACGCCCCTCAAAGAAATAATATCCTTTTTGTAAAACATCCAACAAAATGTCTTATCAACAAGTAAATGCAATTAGATATAAAGTAAATATAGAGTTGTCAGGGTGAATATAGAGGTGTCAAGTTCTTCTTTCATAGTCCACAGTTCATGCAAATTTCAGTGTTTTTATAAACTTCAGTAGTGAGATAAAGGGCAAGTTTAGAACTCTTTTTCTTCTTTTGGATTCCTCCAGAAGTAAAGCTCTTGTTATAAGAAAAAAAACCTGCTCTTTTTCCCTTATGAGGTACCCAAGAGCCCATACAGAATCCTCTTTTTAGGTTCTCTATCGGTAGGAGGAAATAACAGAGACCAGCCAGAGAATATTGAGAAGCAAAGCAGCTAGTAAGCCTGATCTTTATTAACTGTTGCAACAGGGTGCTCCCCCCCACACAGGAGAAATGAGGAGGACCCAGAACAAAGGTATGCCTGCCCTTATATAGACATTTTAAATTGCCCACCCTGGAGTCCAAGACCACCCCCCAGAAACATCATACATACATCACAGAAGGGGTGTAGCCCAAGACCACCCGCCAGATACATCATACCTACATCACAGAAAAGGCAGTCTACAACAGACATCTGAGTGTGTTTATCTCTTGCCTGGCAAGTTACCTGATTGCATTATCTGGGTTTTGCCCACTCTTTTGTTATTATAACTACTTAATTCTTGAATGTAGGTCACAGGTCACAGGCTCACACCCTGTTCATATCTTGAATGTGCCCTTAAGACAGGATTTGTGAGGAAAGAGACAATGGGCAGGTTTCCCACTTTGACCTTGCAGAGAAATAGTTGAGGTCAATTTGTTCAGGACCTAATCTGGGGGGTTTCAGACATGTGGTTTTTATATATACAGTTATGAACATATTTTTTTTAATACGACCTTAAAATTCTTATAATTGCTCAAAATCTATGAAAAAGCTACAGCCACCCCTTTCTTGGTCTGCTAGAATATTGTCTTAGAAAAACTACACTACTGTTAACTGCAGAAGGTGAGGCTTAGAGTTATAGAATCATAAGTGCTGGAAGGGATCCCAGGGGTCATCTAGTCCAACCCCTGCAATGCAGAAATCTCAACTAAAGCATCCATGACAGATGGCCATCCAGCCTCTGCTTAAAAACCTCCAAGGAAGGAGTCCATAACCTCCCAAAGGTGTTCCCTCCGCTCTGACCAAATCACCAAAATCTCAGCCTCATTCTTTGAAAATCACTGGTTTAAATAGCTTCTCTACCTATATCAGTGGTAACCCATGTGGTGCCCTCCAGATATTGCTGCAGTACAACTCCCAACACCCATGACCATTGGCTGTGCTTGCTAGGGCTCATGGGATTTGGAGTCGAATATCATTAAGGGCATTACTTTGGGAACCCCTGGCCTATATGGTAAGTGAATGTTTCCTCTCAAAGGGCAAACAGCTTTGTGAGATGGGTGGGAATTTTAAATCTGGAAAACAGTATAGGGGAAAAAATGGGGCAGATTCTCACACCACTACTCCCTGGTCCAGTCCCACCCACCCCCAGCCCTGTACCTTCTTTAAAAATGAAGGAAAGCCTGACTGCAGACTTTCCACATCAGTCTGACACTCAGCATATGACCTGGAAGAAGACAATATGTGTCAGCCCCTATCAAGAGCCAGCTTTTTAAGAACTAAATTAGTTTCTATCTGGAAGCTGGTTGGCGCGAATGTGGGTTACTACATTCTTCAGGGCCAGTCCTACCGTTAGACAGTGAGGCAATTGGCTCAGACAGCAGATGCTGGAGTAAGAGGTGAGTGACAGCAAGGTATCTGTGTGTGCTACTCAGCTTTCCCTGCCGTCAAGTGTGGCATATATGGAAAAGTAGGGGTCACCATCTTGAAATGGATGGGGGTGCCATCTTTACCTTCACCTCATGCAGCAAAATAGCTTAGGCCAGCCCTGGTCTTCCCTACTCTGTCCCCCTTTTTTCCTTTCATGTGTAGAGTGTGCATTATTGGACTGGCTCTTCTATACCACTTAGAGGAGCATTTTACTGCTTAATGTCATATTAAATAATAATAAAGATGACAGATGAGTAAAGACCAAGCCAACTGGCATTATCAAAAGCACCTATTAGTAAAGGCTGGCATTTCAAAGGGAGAACCAGCTCCTTCTATAAATTAGCTCGTCTTCCAAGTAGTTTGCTTTTCCCATATTTATGCTTAGATTTTGGGGAAATAATTCATCCACATTGGTAGGAGCCTTTATACAGGGTCCTAAACATGCTTGATGCAAATGCATATATACCAACCTCTCTATGGATGTCAAACACGAATCCTTTTTTAAACATTCAGTTACTTTACAATGAATTATACATATTTTAGTTTATTTTGACATATTTAATAAGTAAAAAAAGTATAAGGGTTGAGTACTGCCTTAAAACTTGTTATCCCAGAACATCCCCAACAGAAGCCATCTCTTTTAAAACATTATACGTTCTTATGAATCTGGATTGTTGCTGTTTTAATTGTGCAACTTTAAAAGGACAGCAGATAAGATCTAGGGTCTAAATCTAGCAATGTTGCTCCATGTTTTCTTAAAGAGTTGTGGAGGAAGAAGGACATTGCAACCAATTGGGTGGTTATGCATGAATTGTTGTCAAAGTCCCATTTCCTCCTGCTGAGCTTGTTGAGTAGGTCTAGGGCCTTTTAATTTCCATATTGTGCCTTTGCTGATGCTGTTGTGTATATCATAAATGTAAATCACTCCACACAAGAATCCTGGCAACTATAGTTTACCCTTCAAAGAGCTACAATTCCCAACTGACTACAGCTGTCAGGATTCTTTGGGGGACACAAAGAGTTTTAAACATGCTCTTAAATGTATGGGGTGCATTTTTATAAGTAACGGTGCATTTCTGTATTATTTTGTTTAAGGTGTCTGTTGTTGCTCCACTTTTCTGTGCAATGCTTACAGATATTTTTTTAATATATTAAGCAGTATAAAAATTAAATAACCAATCCATCAAAACCCATCCCAGTGCAGGAATCACAGCTAATCAAATCCTTATATTGGCAGGTGTGTGAAATAATCCACCCTTGTTGGTAGAAGCCCATGCTGGGAGTTATAGAGTAGTTGCTTTGGAAGACGATCAGGTCCAGAATTGGCCTCCACAGTCACTTACGGACTCATTGTTAAAACCGTGTTTATGGAAGACAATCTTTTGGCTACAAGTGAAGGCCAAAGAAGAAGATGATGCTGGGAGCATGTTAGAGCATTTTATAGAGTATGCAATCCTTCGGATGCATACTCACTGGACTTCTAATAATATATTCGAAGCACAATCTTTCCCCTCAAATAATTCTGAGCGATGTAGTTCACACCTCTCAATTACAGTTCCCAGCAACCCTTAAACTACAGTGCCCAGAATTCTTTGGGGGAAAGGAATGTGTTTGGAATGTGTTTTAAAGGTATACTGGGAGAATAGGCAATTTCAGTGGTCTCCAGCACGCCTCAGCTGACCTTAGGCCGACTTTCTGCAGGAGCCCCAATACCACCTGGATTTCGCCCTTTGGAATTTGTTGTTCCCTGACTGGTTGGCGCAGCGCACGATTTCCTGTCAGGGCTGCGCAGAGGATCCATTGCGAGGATCCTCGCTGCAGTGTGGATAGAGAGAGAAAGTGCGGGCCGCTCACCCGGTCCGTCGCCTTCCTTAAAAGTTGGGGCAGTTCTTTTGTGGCAATGTTAAGCCTTCCTGCCTTGTGCAAACCCACCAGGGTGGGGAGGGGGGCTTTCTCTTCCTGCGACGCCAACTATAAGCTCTCAGGGAGGATGGGCCCGGAAAGCGGCCGCGCAGTCGACGCGGCTCCCGGACAGGAAAAGAGCGTCTTCTCTGCTAAAAAAACCAGAGTCCCCTACAGGCTCGAAAAACAGGCGCCTTTCCTATTTCTACACTTCCAGTTTGCAGAGCGGCGGAAGGATTAATGAGGGGAAGATTCAAGGAAGAGGGCGGCGCCTCTTCCCTGCATTGGCCCTGTGACGAAAGAGGGGGCTGAATGCAGCAAGCGCACGTAGCTAGTCCTCAGGAGGGTCGAGGAGGAGCGACCATGCCTGGAGAGTTAGGCGCACAGGCACCGTTTGGTCGCTCCTCTGAGGGGGCGCGCGGCTTTTGCCACTCTCTTGGGCGGAACTAGTTGGCCACGGGACAGTGGGGGTGGTGGGAGGAAGCCCTACATTGTTCGTTAGGGAGGAGGGGTCTCTGCCTAGCAGCTTCTGCCCCTCCCCTTGCTCAGTGGTCGCGTCGGGTGCCAGCTTTGCATCCAGGTGCGTCCAGGTAGGGCAGCGCGAGGCACCTGTTCCGTCGGACTCCTCGCTGGTCCTCGAAAGGTGTGCGGGTGGCAGTGGGTGGGCGAGGCGTAAGCTAGGAAACGTCTGGCTTGGAGGGACGCCTTCTCCCCGCCTCTGCCACAGAGTCTCTGCTTGCGGCCATGGTCACCTCCTCTTCACTTTTCTCCCTTCTGTCATGGGACGCAGAGCCCGGGAAGGAATATAGGAAGCAACCCAAGGTAAGCTGCCATTCCCTCCTCCTTGAGAGACAGCCTTAGTCTCGGGAGGGCCAAATGAGCTAGTGCCTCTGAGCATGTTTAAAGTGTACAGTGGTACCTCAGGTTACAGACGCTTCAGGTTACAGACTCCGTTGACCCAGAAATAGTACCTTGGGTTAAGAACTTTGCTTCAGGATGAGAACAGAAACTGTGCGTGGCGGCAGCAGCAGCAGGAGGAGACCCCATTAGCTAAAGTGGTAACTCAGGTTAAGAACAGTTTCAGGTTAAGAACGGACCTCCGGAACGAATTAAGTTCTTAACCAGAGGTACCACTGTATTTCCATGTGAAGTTTCACCACCAAAAGTGCTTCAGAGCATATGTGGCGGGAGAGCAAAAGAGCTTAACTCTGAGAGGAATGCATGAAGTGAAATGAAGAAAGCACCCCTGAATTGGCGCTCATCCCCCCCCCATCTGTCTGTGTGCTGCGCCACATATCTGGGATGGGAGCAAGATGCTGCATATTTCTTTAGCACTTAAGCCATACTTCACCTTTTGGTGCCCCTAGTTTGGGGAAGGAACATGGGGCGTAGTAAAATGCTGTTTAAGAACAGCCTGCTGTTTTAAGCAAGATTTGGTAACCGTACCGTGAAGGGAAATGGCCACAATGATTTAAGCAGAACACTTCTGCCTTAGATTGCCAAATGCCCATTGGTAAATATAAACTTAAGGATTTCGCAACACTCGAATCTTCCAGCGTTCAGCTTCATTGGATGGCCACGAGTTCTAGTGTTATACGAGAGAGAGTTATACTATCCCCCTTCTCCATGCCATGCATAATTTTGTAAAGCTCTAGGAAGTCACCTCTTACTTTTTCTCTTAACCTTTTCTCTTACCTTTTCTGAAAAACCCCAAACGCTGCAACCTTTCCTCACAGGGGAAGTTACTCCATCCTCTTGATCATTTGGGTTGCCCTTTTCTAACTCTACAATATCCTTTTCGAGGTGAGGGGGAAAGAAATGCTCACACTACACAGTATTCCAAATGTGGTTGCACTATAGGTTTGTATAGCGGCATTATGATAGCAACAGTTTTATTTTTCAGTTCCCTTCCTACTGATTCGTAGCATGGAATTTGCCTTTTTCTCATCTGCCATGTTAGCTTCTTCATCAAGCTCTCTACCACAACCCCAAGATCTTGATCCTGGTCACTTGTTTACATTGAATCGAACCTGTCATTTTACCATCCAGTTGGGAGAGGTCCTTTTGGAGCTCTCCACAATCTCTTTTTGTTTTAACAACCCTGAGCAATTTAATATCATCAGCAAATTTGGCCACCTCACCGCTCACCCCTAACTTGTTTATGAATAAGTTAAAAAGCACAGGTCCCAATATTGATTCCACTTTCTACATCTCTTCATTCAGAGAACTGTCCATTTATTCCTACTTTGTTTTTCCTGCTGCTTAACCAATTCCTGACACACAAGAGGACTTGCCTCGTGCTCCATGACTGTTGGAACAGTGTCTTCAGAGTTGTTCTTTTTATATCTAATTTTGCTCCATCTTAAACAATACCATACATATCGACCAACCTGGGTTGCTGGATGGACTTCAGGCCAAACACCAGTACTGTAGTTGTTTAAGTTACTGGTGATTTATTTTGGTTTTTTTAACCTACATCAGCTGCAAAAGGTGTGGATAGCTGATGAAATAGAGAGGTTTCTTAACAGACTTCCCTTTAAAATCAACTGTCACTACCCCAAGCTGCTCATTTTCCCCATTGAGTCAATCGCCCATCTCCTACTACCCTCCTTAGAAAAACCCCATCCCACTCTCCCACTATATATAAGGGTCTGATGACTTCTGTTTCAGTGTATCTTAAGAAGTGTGCATGCACATGAAAGCTTATACAAAGAACAAATCTAGTTGGTCTCTAAGGTGCTACTGGACAATTTTATTTTTTTATATATTTTGACTGCGTCAGACCAACGCGGCTACCTACCTGAATCTTTCCCCATGAGGAAAGTGATGCAAGGACCTGTTATCTTTTTCCTGCATAAGGGAAAAGGCGGGGAGGGTGGTGGTGTTTAGTGAGAGAAAATGTCAGAGGCAAGAAGCTGCTCCCTGCTCACCTGATGCCAGTTTCCCACTGAAGCAGATTGCAGACCCTGCAGCTGTTTGGGACAAAAAGAGGAAGGAAGAAAGAAAGAAAGAAAGAAAGAAAGGCGTGTTAGAGTAAGCAAGGCACAAGGCAGAGTATGGTCTTTTTGGTGGTTGTCTGTTGCATTTGTTTATATAATGTTATTGGTAGAGGCTATTACACTGGTCGACAATAATTCATGTGCATGTAAATATTGGAAACCGTTTAATCTATCCTTGTGTTTATTTTAAGCTGTTTGTCTTTTTTATAGTTCTGTAGGTCTTATCATTTTGTAATTATTTGTCTGGTTTTACTTTTTCATATTTTTTCCCATTGCGTGCAGTATCTGTGCCCACACAGGGGAGGGTGGTCATATTGGCTTTCAAGGTTGAGAAACCTATGTCTCTCCATATGTCGCTGGAGCCTAATTCCCACCATTCCTGGTCCTTGGCCATGCTGGCTGGGTTTGATGAGACAACATCTGGAGTCCCAACAACAACTGGAAGGACACAGGTTCCCTACCTCTGCTCTATGGAGGTTTTTGATCAAAACATGAAAGGGAAGCAAATCTTATCTTGCTGGCTCATCACAGTAAACTGAGAATTGCAGAAGTTAAACTTGCTGGATTGTTCTTTCCTGCTGGCTTCTAAGAGAAGGATGATTTATGCAGCCTTTGGGAGTGTGGAAGAACGCATACGAATGGCTAGAGAACTGAATGTTCTTCTGTAGATGCAGCTTGATACTGAAAGGTCATATTTCAAACCTTTTTGGAGATTGGGAGCAGGGTGTTAATATATGAAACCCCAGCATCTCTATTGTAGACTCTGACATTCCAGTAGATTTTGTTTAAACCCATTATTCAAGCTTTTGTCCAGTGGTTCTTCGTGTCCCCTAAAACAGGAAAATATTAGCCTTCTCTTATTGTGTTGAGGACCTAAGTTACTAGCACAAGTTCAAGAGGTTAAGCAGGGTTCAGACCCCTGAGCCACCCTGAGAGGCACTTGACAGAGGTAGGTGAGGCCAGAGGCAAACATGGATGGGGGCATGGAAACACTACCTTTGTACAGTGTACTAGTTTCTACACACTCTTCTCTGTCCGCCATCCAAACTAGGCATGATCAGAGTTCAAGGACACATTCCGTTCAGACAAAAAGAGCAGGGTGCAAAGTGTGTCTGTGAGGAGTGTGGCCTGTGAAGAGTTCTGAGGACCAGACAGATATTTATTTATTATTTATATTTTTTTCATCTAATATAGTTATAGCCCACCTTTCTCCCACATGGGAATCCAAGGCAGCTCACAACATTTAAGAACAACATTGTAAAAATACAAAGTTAATAAAAACACACTATTGAAAAGCAATAATTAAAGCACACCAAAACAGGTTAAAATGCTAGCAGTTAAAATGCAGTTTGCCCTAACGGCAGCCCAGTGAGCGGCATTATCTGCTCCTGAATTATCAAAGTCCTGTCTGAATAGGAAGTTGCTAGCCTGCTGGCAGAAGGACAGCAAAGACGGAGCCAATCCAGCCTCTCTTGGGTGGGAATTCCACTAAATGGGAGCAGCCACAGAAAAGGCTCTCTCATTTCACCACCAGCTGTGCTTTTGATGCCTATGGATCCAAGAGAAGGTGCTCACCTAAGGATCTTAGCACCCAGACAGGGAGATATAGCCTTTCAGGCAGCCTGGGCCCAAGCCATATGGGCCTTCATAGGTCCTGCACATTGAATTGTGCCCAGAAACAGACCAGTAGCCAGTTAAGTTGTTTTAACAAGGGAGAAATATGCTCCCTGTAAGTGGCCCCAGTCAGCAGTCCAACTGCAGCAGTCTGGACCAGCTGAAGCTTCTGAACATTTAAAAGTGTTCAGGCAGCCCAATGTAGAGTGTGTTGCAGTAGTCCAGCCAGGACGTAGCTAAGGCCCCGGGGCCTGAAGTTCCCCACTACAGAAATAAATGTACCAGCCTTGCATCCAGATTTCAGTCCTAGCATGGACCTCCAATCCAGTGGTGCGCATGTTCAGTGGCTGGGGCTGTGCATGCCTAATCTCATCAATTAATGATCAGCAGTAATGCTGTATCAGCCCCACCAGCTTTTTGATGTTATGAATGATTTTCAAATGGGTGCAATTCATGTATGTATTTTAGCTAGATTAGGGTGGGTACTACTGCTTTCTCTTTCTAAATCCCAGTGTGCATACATGGCTTTAGAAAGCTCAGGAGAGATAAGTAGTGTCCAAGTAATGAGTACCATTATAGGATTGTCTGTAGACATCTCTGTTCCTTTCACTGCTTTATACTACAGTAAGTTATAGGCTATTTCCATCCTTGCAGCTTTCCAGGTGGAATGATCGTCTCCACTCTGCATGCTGTTCTGGGGGCTCACCCAACTCCCTTGAATCCTATTTTAGGGTGCACCAGGTGTGTGCTGGGGAGGAGAGTGGGAAATCCCTATAGCAGAAGTCTCTTCCTATGGTGACAGGAGTCCTTAAGTGAATCCTTCCCTTGATCTCATGTATTGATGTGCTTTGCCAATGAATTTAGCTTAAGGGGAATACTTGGACAAGGAGCAGCTGCTGTTCCATTCTGCTTCCGTTACACTGAGAGCCAGTGTGGTGTAGTGGTTAAGAGCGGTAGACTCCTAATCTGGGGAACCGGGTTTGCGTCTCCGCTCCTCCACATGCAGCTGCTGGGTGACCTTGGGCCAGTCACACTTCTTTGAAGTCTCTCAGCCCCACTCACCCCACAGAGTGTTTGTTGTGGGGGAGGAAGGGAAAGGAGAATGTTAGCCGCTTTGAGACTCCTTAAAGGGAGTGAAAGGCGGGATATCAAATCCAAACAACTCTTCTTCTTCTTCTTCTTCTTCTTCTTCTTCTTCTTCTTCTTCTTCAGAGCAAACTGTAATTGAGTAATGTACAGAATGAACTTACTAACCAGAATTTCAACAAGTTACAATAATACAGGTAACATCTTTGCAGCTGATGAAAAAGAAAGACAGTAACTTGTTTCTTTTGGGTGTTCCATATTACATCCTTAAGACAACTTCCTAGTATTGTTCAACGTGTTTATTAAAGGGGAAGTGTTCAGATGGGTTTGTCAGTGAGAACAAGGAACAATACAAATTCAGTGTCTGAGTAAACCATTCCAGATAGGTATCAGTGTCAGGCAATTTTTATTGCATTATCAATCAGTCAGAATTTTCTCATGCTTTCAAATCACTTCTGTGTTTGTTAGTCAAGGGAAGAGAAAGGATTTTGGTGAAGCCTTGGAATTTTACTCAGCCACATCCCTAGCACTTGGAAGTTCAGCAGGCATTGCTGACTCATTTTCAAGCTTATTTTCTCAACCTTAATGACTGCAATGTTGCTCCTTTAAAATAGAACAGTTTTATTACTGTTTGTAACATTTTTTTCCAGCCCTTCTTATTTTCATACACCACTTAGGGTGGTTTGCAACAATTTGAATGCTTTTCGCTTGAAAACTAGTGTTTTACTCATATGAAAAAATAACTGGATATTTTGATTCACAGCTTGTTGTTTGGTTGACCACAATTACTGTAATTGGGTGACAGCCCCTAAGTATAAAATACATGTAATCTGGAATAGCTAGACTACCATGAGTGTTCATTGTTGCGTGAGTGTTTTTAATCTCGTCAGCTATTACCTTTCGTGCCGCTAATCCTGGATCATCTTCCTTGCATAATATAAATATTTTCTTTTGCAAAGCTAGACAAAAACCTGCTGTATTCTTAGCTCTTGAAGGCATAGCAACTATCTGATTTCTTTAAACTGTTTAATTTAAGGCTTGGAGCTCAAATCACACCTGCACACAGAGACGGGGCATATTTGGACTTTAAGTATTTAAAGCCCCAAATATGGGATGTTATCCAATGCAAGAGATGTGCACTAGCAGAACAGAACTTTTTCCTCCTCTCTTCTCCCTTGCAGCCCCCCTATGCTCTGGTGAACTCTCAAAATCAGTTCCAGAGCCGTACACTATCCAGCTTTGAATGACTTGTATGTACTGGGGGGGGGGGGATGTAAAACTGTGGTGTGCTGGATGCATTCTGACCCTATGTCCTTCAAACCAAATTTATTAATCAGGTGTAGAAATTGAAGTTTCCCTTAAATGAATTGAATTTCCCTTTAATACAATTTTGACGTGCCTTTACTAATAGTGCAGGATCCAGTCCTTTCCAATTCAAACCACCCTCACTCCCAAATCAAAGTTTGCTGAATCTCTGGAATATTTTAGATAGGAAACCCATTTGACTCATATTGTGTGCATAAAGTGTCCCTACTGATAGATCCCTTTTAAACATGTCACATTCCTGTTAAAAAAAGAAAACTGTTCTCTGAGTCACACTGGATTTTTATTATTATTTTTTTTAAATCTCAGAAGGATGATAAGGTGCCTTTAATACAGGCATAGGCAAACTCCGGCCCTCCAGATGTTTGGGACTGCAATTCCCATCATCCCTAGCTAACAGGACCAGTGGTCAGGGATGATGGGAATTGTAGTCCCAAACATCTGGAGGGCCGAGTTTGCCTATGCCTGCTCTAATACTTTCCTCTTTAGTGGGGAATGAGAATGTAGGGCCTGGCTGGACCTTGACTGTTGCAATGTGAGCTGTGTATTCTTGCCAATATTTGTGGGAGTGGAGCAAATGGTCCTCCTGTTTGCTAGGGGCAGATATGATCCACTGGCTGAAAGGTCACCTATTAACTGGGGGAACCTTAGCCCCACCCAAAGCAGATCTGGCAAGTAGCCGATTCCCTGTATGGAAACAGGAGCAGCAGTGGATCAACATTGGGGTGAGTAACCTTTTTTGGTCAAAGTACTGCATTCCCCTTCTGGGCAACTTTTCCATAGGCCACATATCAGTAGTGGGCAGGGCCACAGGCAAAAGCGAGCAAAAAAATACACCTCTCTTCTCCAGTCAGGCAAAAGTGTGAAGCAGAGCTGGTGAGGGGTGCAACTGGGGGAGGTAGTGTGGCTGGAGAGAGTCTGAAGGGCCAGATTGAGAGGCACAGAGGGCCACATTCATGTCACAAGCCTGGGATTCCCCACTTTGAACTACAGCATAGGATTGTTGTACAGATGGGTAAGATTAGTAGGGGTTGATACTTACCACACTCCTTAAGCCTTTAGATCAGGCTGGACTATATTTCTGGACAATTAAAAGGTTGCTCTCAGTGGATCTTTGTGATCAGGTTTCTGACTTCTACACTGGCTATTTCTCTTCAGCAAAAGTGCGCACCAATTTACTTGTTCTTTGTTTGAGATTCATTTATAAACACCTGAATCAAACAACTGCTAAGTGGCGTAGAGAGAGGGGGGGGAGGGAGAAAAATCAGTTACATAGATCAGCAACCTTTAAAAACAAGTATATGTAGCTAAATTATGTGCCTGGAAAAGTTTTAGCAGGCATCTAAAACAGGATTGCAAGGGTGCCTGCCTAAGGTTAAACTTATCACCATAAAACATGCTGTGATATAGCTAAACGGAGCCTTTCCACTACTTAAGAATATGAGCTATATAACTGTATAAATTCTTAAATACTATATGACAGCTTTACTGTTTCAGAAAATAGTACAAGTTACATAGCTCATTTAATTGCTCAATTTGCTCATGATTTGTATGAAGCTATATTAGGAAGGATGGGGACTAAATGTTAATCAGATACAATAACATAAACTGGTGTGTTTGAATATGGCATTTAATTTCTCTACCTCTCCCTCCACCCCATTTTCTGTCTCTGCATTTGCAAGTCACTGAGCAAGATCACGGGCATGTCAAGAACCCAGACCAATTTCAGTAACAAGATCAAGTAGTTATTAGGCAGAATGGTTTTAAATTGTTGTTAGTTTTTCTTGCTGGTAATTTTTTTGTATTTTCTTTTTGGTAAACCACTTTGAATCTTACGGGGTGGGGGAAAATAAATTCCTTTCCCCACCCCATGTTTGTTTTCTTTTTGGAATGGAAACAGTCTAACTTAGTCTGAGGCACCAAGAATATATGATAATGTTAAGTCTCATTACATCTTTGATATTGGAAAGGATGGCATCAGTATATTGGTTTGGTTATAATATTGTCTTTTGGTTGCAAACAGTATTCTGTATTTGCTATAGTTTGTGGTGAGACTGTTTTAAGAATCAGGGACAAGTAATTACTAGTCTGAACCACCCTGAGACCTCTGGGTACAGGGCGGTATATAAATTCAAATAATAATAATAATCAAGTTTTTGTTTTTTTAACTGAAAAGCATGCTGGAAGGCAAAGATTTTGAAAAGAGTAATGGCAGTGGGTTAAGGAGAAGGGGAGGAGGAATGCTTAACCCTTTCCCTACTAGCTGCTTTTCTGCTCAAAATTCCCTGCAGCTTCTTTTCCAGATGCACATTTACAAGTGTAATACAGGCAGCTATTTACACAGTGATTATATTTACACAGTGATTACATTCCGAGGCACAGGGTGCATTAGCAGGATGTGCGTAAGCCCACCCCGCCTCGTTCTGCCCCTGCCCCATCCCCTTGCGGTGCTGAAAACATCATACACATATCGATCATGCACAAGTAGGGAGGCGCCTCTACACATCTCAGATCTGCAGGGGAACCAGCTGGGTAGGGAACTATTTTGAGCAGAAGAGCTGTCAGGATAAGTCTTGGTGGGTGCGCATGCACACATCCCCACACTATGCTGCCACTCATTTGTTCAAAATCCAAACTCCTGAGGCTGCTTTTCTTTTCTTTTTTTACCCATCCCCATTCAGATTGCCCATGCAAAAAGGACATGTTTGACTCCTGCTGTTGCTTAAGCCATGGAAGATAGAGTTGGTGAAAGGGAAGGAACTGGCCAGACACCCTGTTGCACATGCTTCCCAGCTCTCTGGTGGGGGCAGGGAGGGGGGCGGTAAAGCTGAAGTCACTGTTGGCTTAGAACAGCTTGATTCTGGTTGTGTCTTGTGCAAGCACTGCAGGTCAGTTTTTACAAGCTCAGCAGTATGCCCAAGTTCCTCTTTGTGTGCGTTAGTGGTTGGTTCAGTGTTGCTAATTTATGGCACTGTAGAAATGCTTTCGACCACATCTAGTTCTTCAGCTTGATGTTTTTGAGCCAAGGTGATAATCCCACCACCAATGTTTTGGACCATCAGGCCCAACCTCCATGGCCGATGGTCAGGGATGATGGGAATTGTAATCCATCAACATCTGGAGGGCAGTGTTGGCTCTCTTTGTTCTTTGAGGCTGTACTCCCACTAATAATATTTTCACGGGGGGAGAAGGAATCTTGTATTTCAAGTCTGGTATGGAAGCTTTGCCAAGAACAGCATGTACATTAAGGATGTACATCAAAGGTGAGTGAGTGTTGATGGGCAGCCTCAGTTCACACAGAGACTGCTGAATCTGTAGGTGGAGGCCTCCTGCTTGCACAAGAAGAAGCCATGTGGATGAGACCCCCATATATAATTGTAACTTGTATATTTGTAAATAAACACAAATATTGCAAAGCACCAACTAGCCTCCAATGACCTCCATCCAACGAAAACCAAACACAGGTAGTGCTATCATTGGGCTATGCATAATATTAGGTAACAACCAGCATCTTGAATTGTAATTGGATTCACACTGGCATCCAATGCAGATTTGATGCGACAATATAATATATTTGTCACAGCCTTCCCCCACTATATTTGCTACTGCATTCTGCACTGGCTGAGGCTTCTGAACAGTCGTCGTGAGCAGCCCCATGTTCAGTGTGATGCAGTAGTCTGTCCTCCTTATGTTCCTATTAACCAGTGGCGTAGTGTGGGGGGTGCAGGGGGGCCGGCTGCACCGGGCGCAACATCTGGGGGGTGCGCGCTCGCACTCGCAGCTCTCTGCCCCCTGCTAAAATCCACGGGTTAGGGGGCGCAAATTACTTGCCTTGCCCTGGGTGCTGACAACCCACGTTACGCCACTGCTATTAACTAACAGTTCCTGAGTCACCAGCATCTCCCAGTCAGGGTGGAAGAATATGAGTTAACAGCCTTTACTGAGTTCATGTGTTCAACCTCCATTAACCCTTCTGATATGCATTCAGAAATTGCAGTTGTCAGCGAATCCACCTTGTCCATAGTTTCTTTTTAAAATGAGCTTGGGGCAGTAAACTTTTGGGGTTTTTTTAATATGATGAGGTTGACAATTTATGCTTTTTAGGCTGTTGGGATATCCTCCTTTTACTTTGCAGCTGATAAGGAGAAAATGTGGCCTTTCAGGTGCCATCTGGGTTACATTTTCCATCATCACTGCATTGGCATGTTGACTGGGGATGAATGGAATTTGCGCATTGGAGAAATGGGAGTCCCTGTAAAAAAAAAAAGGAGAGGGAACTTCTGCTGTCAGGATTTTAATAGCCAAAATGGACAATGAAGTGTCTGGTGTGCAATTGGTTGCCCACACATTCCCCAAAACCCTTCTCTGTGCTGCTGGTGGCTTTGGAGTAAACCTGATTTGGGGTTAGAACCATTCCAATATGCCGTCCAGATTAACAGTAAAAAAGGCAGGTTGCTCTTTATTTTGTCACAAATATAAACTCTTAAGTGATATCTGTACCGCTTCAAAATACTGCAAACGTTTCTAGTAATTAAACTACAACAACAACACAAGCATTTGCCCAGCAGAAAACCTTTTGCAAAAAGCAGTCTGTGCAAGATGCTGGCAGCCCATTCTGTGAATGCAGCAGTTCAGTTAATTCCGTATCAATAATTCATGGCACTGGCCTATTTGTTAATTACTGGCCCATGGCCCAGTTCTCCTCCCTGCTCCCCCTAAAAGCATACATTTATGGGATGGCTTGCAGGGATTTCGGTTCCACAGCAGTTTATGCTTATTAACTTTGAACACAATAATGCTGAAGGGGACAAAAAAAAATTCCTCTGGTTTTCAATCGTTTATTCCAGCTATAATCTCAGTAAACTCTTAAAAAACAAAACCGGCTCTTCCTGTGCTGGCAAACGACAGTGTTCTGCACAAACTATAACGCCCATTTACATGTTATGAGGAGCCTCTTTCTGTAGGTTCATCCCATGATAATGGCTTTAATGCAGAGGTTGTTGCCGTGGTGTCCTCCTGATGTTGTGAAGGACAACCCCCATCACCCACCTATGCTCATATCCTGCTTTGGGAATAGGCATCTGGTTGGCTATTGTGAGAATATAGCGCTGGACTACAGGAACCAGGATGGCTTCTCTTATGTTCTCACCATTGAGAAGGCTGGTGGGAGTTTGTAGACTGCAACATCTGGAGGGCACTACGTTTGCTATCCTTGGTTGAAAGACCCACATCCATATACACGGGATCAACCACAGTGGTGTTTCTTCCACAATTCACATCCTTGGTGGGAAGCTTGTTTCAGTAGCAGGGTCCTCTTAGCCTTTAAACCACTAGTCCAAAGGGCCATCTTGAGCACTGCTGGAATGCTGAAAGCAGTGTTGCCCAACCTGGTGTCTTCCAGATAGCTTGAGCACAGTTGTCCATGCATTGGTGACTTCATGATTGGATTATTGCAATGTACTCAATGTGGGGCTACCCTTGAGGGTTGGTCAGGAGTTTTGCAGCTGGTACAGAACATGACTAGGTTGCTTGTGGTGACAAACTAACACCAGCATATAAACATCCCGCTTGCATGATTTGCACTGGCTACCAAACTGCTACTGGGAGAAGTTCAAGGTGTTGGTACTAACATACAAGGTCCAGGACCACTGGAGTGCACAAGGTTGGGCAAGGCTCCTTTAAGCACTCCAGAAGTGTTGCTAGATCCTCTCTCCGCGGCAATTTAAAGTGCTTCCATGATGCTTTAAGGGTATTTGGCGTGAATGTGGCCATAGCTGCCAATGATTCATTTGCTCATCCTTTATTTTTATTTTTTTAATATTCCACTTAATATATATTGGGCTTCTTCTGGCCCAGGCAGTATCACAGGGATAGGAAACATGAAAAGAATAATTTCTCCCAGCAGATTAGGGAAGTAGTACATTCTTAAATCCATCTTTGTACAGTAAAAAGGGCAACCTTAATAGCAAAGGAGAGGAGCCCATAACATTGTGTGGTAGCAGTGCTAATTATTTTCAGTACCGTTTAATTATTCAGCTCTATATTATCTGTTGCTGGATTTATACCCTGCCATAAACATGTAGCTTGTGCAGGTGAGAAGCTTGTGCAAACAACTCATAATGAACTGAAAAGAGATAACAACTATCATGGGTGTGGGAAGCCCAGGATCCAAACCAACCCTTCCTTGTCAGGGAGACATTGAGTCCTTCAGCCTCTTTGTTGTGTTCTTCCCCTCAGCCCAGCTACCGTGCAACAAACTACAGTGGTACCTTGGGTTAAGAACTTAATTCGTTCTGGAGGTCTGTTCTTAATCTGAAACCGTTCTTAACCTGAGGTACCACTTTAGCTAATGGGGCCTCCCACTGCCGCCATGCCACTGCCATGCAATTTCTGTTCTCATCTTGAAGCAAAGTTCTTAACCCAAGGTACTATTTCTGGGTTAGCGCAGTCTGTAACCTGAAGCGTCTGCAACCTGAGGTGCCACTGTATTGCTACAACTGAAACTGGTAGAAAGAAGTTACTTGCTACTCATGGTCAGGGAGCAGAGTGACTGGGGGGGGGGCATGTGGGGTGTGTGGGAAACCAGTTGGATAGGCCTGGAGATCTGCATTTGGGCCCTGGCCTGAGGTTCCCCATCCCTGATATATTGGACAGGCGGTCTCCAGCTGTTGATGGACCCCAGCTCCATCATCTCAGACCGCTGCCTTTGCTGGCTAGGAGTTGGGAGTCCAGCAATATCTTGAAAGCCACTGGTTCCCCCAGCGCCTGAGTTATTGGCTATAGTGACTAAATAGAAGCTCCCATCTTGAGATCTCATCCCTCCGATCATCAACAGCAGAGAGTGCTCTATAAACTTTATACCCTGCTTATTCTGTTTAAATTGCACAGGGGCTTTGATGAGTAAGAAATGTACAAATCCCATTCAATTAAATAATGAGCTCAGGGGCATGTGGGTGGCCTCTGTTGGAAATAGGCTTTTGAGCTAGAAGAGCCTTTGGTTAGTTCTGGTAAAGCAAACTCTGTGTGCTGTTTAGCCCAGCCTTCTGTAGTCCTGTGTGAATTACAATGCTGTTTTTCTCTCCTCTAGGACAAGACCACAATGCTTCATGGCCACCTACTATTTCTCATTGGACTGACATTTGCATACAGAGGAATAAATGCAGATCCTCGGTGTGCCGCAACAGGCAGGCTTGTGAACTACGACTGGTGCAACTTCACACAGGTTCCCCCTCTGCCTGAAGGCATTGTTTTACTCTCCCTAAATTTCAATTTCATCCAGCAAGTGAATGCCACATCCTTCCCACTGCTGGAGACATTGACGGTTCTGTCACTTGGAAGCCAGCTGGTCTCTCCTGTCACAGTAGGAAAGAATGCTTTTAGGAATTTGCCAAATCTTCATCAACTGGATTTAGCTCACAATAAAATGATTGTGCTGGATCCACAGGCTTTCAGGGGGCTGGGGAAGTTAAGTAACCTTCTGCTATACTATAGTGATCTTAACGAATCCATTCTGGAAAAGGATTACTTTAAAGATTTGGTCTCTCTGGAATACCTGGACCTTGCATTCAATAAGATCACTAGGCTTCACCCTCACCCTTCATTGCGCAACATGCAAAAGTTAACACTTCTGAACTTGAAATTAAACCGCATTGAAACCATATGTGAGGGAGATCTCTACAGCTTTCAAGGAAAAGCTTTCACATTGTTGAATCTTAATTCTAATGGTTTGTTTAAAGGAGATTCTCAAGACTGGGCAACTTGTGGCAATCCTTTCAAAAACATTGTCTTCGATACGCTGGATGTTGGTGGCAATGGCTGGGGTATAAGAACAACCCAGCAATTCTGTGCAGCTATTCAGGGAACACCACTTGTGGGTTTGAAGATATCGTCCCACACCATGGGCTCATCATTTGGCTTTAATAACATGCCAGACCCAAACAACAACACATTTGCAGGTCTTGCCCAGAGTGGCCTTCGCCTGCTTAATATTTCACATGGCTTTATCTTTTCTCTTAACCCACGTGTATTTCAATATCTTGGTGATCTGGAATTGCTGGATCTCAACTCTAATAACATAAATAAAATTCAAAAAGAAGCATTCTTTGGTCTCTGGAGCCTACAACACCTAGACCTGTCGTACAATCTGCTGGGAGAACTTTTGGATTACACTTTTGAAGGTCTTCTAAATGTGCGTATTATAGCTCTGCAACACAATCATATTGGGGTGATTGATAGGGCTCCTTTTAAAGGCCTGTCAAGCCTTCACACTGTGGACCTCAGCGATAATGCTCTAAAAGTAATCTTAACACTCCCAAGTCTCAGCTATGCTTTTTTAGGTAGCAACCGGATACAGTCTGGAGACCACAGCAAAATAGTGGCTATAAATTCAACATATGTTGACATGGGAGGAAACAGGATGGACAATCTGGGAGACCTCTATGAACTTCTCCGATATCCAGTGCCACAGTATATTTTGTTAAGAAATAATCGCTTCTCCTACTGCTACAGGTACAACGATATAGCAGAAGACAACCAGTTGCTCTACTTGGATCTTGGAGACAATATGTTGAAGCTTGTGTGGGAGAGAAGTTTGTGTTTGGATGTGTTCAAGGGGTTGTCCAAGCTTCAGGTCCTGCATCTCAATAATAACTACCTTAGTTTCCTTCCAGAGGGCATCTTTGATGGCCTGGTATCACTGGTTAGGCTTAACTTGGCTTCAAACCTCTTAACTTACATTTCTCACAGTGCTTTTCCTGTGAGCCTCAGGAAACTTGACTTATCCTCGAATCAGCTGCTTTATCCAGATCCTCAGCTCTTTGCAACTCTGGACAATCTGGATATCACCTATAACAGATTTTACTGTAATTGCCTCTTAAGCGACCTAATTGTGTGGCTGAACCAAACCAATGTCACCTTAGCTGGGTCACCAGATGAAAGGTTTTGTTTTGGACCCCCTGATCTTGCTGGCAAAAGCCTTCATGAGTTTAATGTTGATGATTGCAATGAAGACAAGATATTGGAGCCTCTGCAGTTGTCGCTCTTCATTTTTACCACCGTTGCTGTGACAATGTTCCTAACGGTGGTGATTGTTTTTGCTCGCTTTAGAGGAACTTGCTTCATTTGGTATAAGACCGTGGTAAGAGTATTCTTGAAGGAGCAACAGCCAGCGTTGGAGGAAGAGACCTATAGATACGATGCCTACATGTGCTACAGCAGCAAGGATTTTGAGTGGGTCCAGAACTCATTGATAAGGCACCTAGACCTCCAGTATTCTGATAAAAACAAATTTGCTCTCTGCTTTGAAGAGCGAGATTTCTTGCCAGGAGAGGATCACATCACCAACATTCGTGATGCCATTTGGAACTGTAGGAAAACAATTTGCGTTGTGACGAAGCAGTTTCTCAAGGATGGCTGGTGTGTCGAAGCTTTTAATTTTGCTCAGAGTCGGTATTTTTGTGACCTGAAAGACGTCCTCATAATGGTGGTGGCTGGATCACTTTCGCAATATCAGCTTATGAAGTATCAACCAGTCAGAGTGTTTTTGCAAAGGGGTCAATACTTGAGGTGGCCCGAAGACCCCCAAGATGTGGAGTGGTTTCTAAATGCACTTTCTCACCAAATACTGAAGAAGAAGGAAGTAAAAAAGAAACAGAAGAAGAAGAAGAAGAAGAAACTCAAGAGGAAGAAATCAAAGACATTGGAAATGAATGTTATTACCATCTCTTAGCTGGCAATTCTAACTACCAGGCCATTGAAATGGCCGCCAGTCAGAGAAATGTGTCATGCTGTTCCTTAAACACACTGAGCCCTAATCTCTCTACATGAGCAAGGCAAATCCTGCACTGAGAAGGCTGTGTGAGCACTCTGGAGATCTTTGTGCCATTTCCTCCTTCACTGCCAAGACTTTCCAAAGATCAGTATGCTGCACCTGATGAATCTTGCATTTACCAGACTGAAATTGAAGGAAGTTTGCATGTTTATAGTAACAATTGTGTGAGTTCCAACTATGTAAGCTTTTGTTGGTTGAAGGATTGTTAATCATTGAGTTACTTAGTTAAAGGGGGGGGGAATCCACTACTTTGCCCATAGACCTGAAAACATATTGCCAATTGCATTACTTCCTTAGAGCACAGTGAAGTTCTCAAAGCTCTTTCCCGACTAGCTGTTCACATCAGCACAGCCTAATTAGTGTCCAGTCCATTTCTGTTTGTGTACACACCAGTGGGCATTCATGGGACGAGGATGTATTTACCCTAAAGAAAGGTGTTCACACCTTGGCTAGAGACGAATTAGAAATGGCTCAGGGACTCCAATCACTGTGAAGCTGGTTTGGAAAACGACGCATCAAACCATAGTATCTTATAACAAAAGTACGGGATGCGTATGCATGTTGGATAACATGAATATGCACTAAAAACCTGGCACTGAAAAGCAGTGTGAGTGTGCAGCCTTAAACTGAAACATGAGATAGCTATCTGTTTTCCATTGTGACCTTTTCATATCTTAACAGAGGTGGTTACTCCTGCTTAAGCCTATCTCCTGTAAAATATCAGTATTGAATCAGTGAAAGATGGTGGCCTCTTTGGGCCTTCATTGCCCATCAAATGCGCAATGCGCGGACCCCTCCAGTGCGAAAGTGGCATTGTGGTTGCAAACTCCGCTCCTCACCTATGTATCTTCATTACAATGTCCATAGGGAAACCCCCCCCCCCACCGATGCATTGTGGAGTTCATTTTGGATGAATCAGGGGTGGAGCCTAGCCTTCCCTGCCCCGCATTGATGTTTGTCATTCGTGGGGAAAAGCAACTAAACAACTCTATATTAGAACTATCTTTATATGTCAACTACCTCAAGGTTTGAACTGGTTTAGAAACCAAGTTCAGCACCTCTGTTAGTATATAGTGTACATAATACAGATTAAAAGATACAGTGGTTACAAACACCTCGGGTTACAAACACTTCAGGTTACAGACTCCGCTAACCCAGAAGTAATACCTCGGGTTAAGAACTTTGCCCCAGGATGAGAACAGAAATCGCGCTGTGGCCGCGCGGCGGCAGTTGGAGGCCACATTAGCTAAAGTGGTACCTCAGGTTAAGAACGGTTTCAGGTTAAGAACGGACCTCCTGAACGAATTAAGTTCATAACCAGAGGTACCACTGTAGTGACCATTACAAATTCCAGTGCCTGCCTGAATGTATTTCAAACAAACTACCTAAGAACTTGAAGGACTTCACAGCAGGCAGAGGGACCCCTGTGGCCTTCCAGATGTTGTTTGACTGCAGCTCCCATCATCGCTGACTATTGGCAGTGCAGGCTGGAGCTGATGAGAGCTGAAAGTCCAGCAACATCTGTAGGGCCACAGGTTTCTCGCCCCTCATGCATACAGAAAGGGAATATTCAAGCAACATACTTTGACCTAAAGACATCAGGTTATTGTACATGTGCCTGAATGAATTTAAATATTTAGGTTTTGGTTCAAGGCAGAAATCTTGGGACTGCTGCTTAATGTGAAGTTCTGAAATCATAAGTGCATAACTGAGTTTAATGACTTCCGGAGGTGCTGTGCATCCATAGCTGGTATTAGTTATGCGATTCACAGATGTTCATTACCAGCTTGAAAGGGAATGGAAACTCAGGCTATCAGTCTTCATTTAGTTTCTATGAGAACAAAGGCTTGTCGCGCAGTGGCACCAGTTATTTGGAACACCGTTCCTATTGAAATGAAGCTAGCACCCATGACTCTTGATATTCCATCGCCTGATGGAAACCTTTTTAAGAGACCTAATAACATTCACTGTTGGTAATTTGTTTTGTATTTTAGGATCTTGCAATTTTACGATGGTTTATTGATTTTATGGTACACCTTCCTTATATATGGTTTTAATGAGCTGCTGGCTTATGAATGTTATTGGAAGTAAATAAAATGGAATAAATCAGTCTTGCCCTCCTCATCAAGCCCTCCTCATATGGTCTCCATAGGTAACCTAGCATTTCTCCCAGGCAAATGAGTGAGCTGGCAGATGACCCTCTTCTAGCAGTCCACTGTATTTCTGAGCTGGGCAGCAAGGAAACACAGACCCCACCCCCAGCCTAGAAGTGGAGGCAGCATGGGGTGCTTCTTTCCTCCTCTGGCAGCCCACTGCATCCCCATTATCCTGGGCATAGTAGAGATAAACTTGCACACCTTCCCTGCACCACAGCAGCACCCTCTGCTGCGTTTCAATGCCGGATGTCCAGCACAGATATGCAGCACCAGACCATGGAGCCACCCAGCTCTCAGCCACAGGCCACTTGTTCTCTAAGCTGAGCATGCAGGTTGAGCCTTCACACAGAAGTGCAGTGGGCTGGTGGTGACCAAGGGCCAGAGCGACCCGGCCCTTCATCACCAGTCCTTTCCTGGACGGAGGAGTCGGTGAAGCTCTACCCATCGCATCCAGCACGGAAGCCGAGCAACCAGAAGCGAGAGGCAAAGAGGTAAAATAATCTATGCAGTGCTGGAGGTGTAAAGGTTTTTATACATGGTTGGTGGTTGTAAGAAGGATTGGATGTTTGGTTGGGGAAGAACAAGCAATTCGAGAAGCCTTAGGGGAGAAAGGGTTTTCTGTCCGCTAAGCCGGTGTTGTTCAGTGATGCAAACAGATCTGCTGAAACAAGGTCAGCAGTAACTCAGTAACACTCAGTAACTAAGATGAGCATAGCAGCCAGGATATTTAATGCAATAAAGGAAGGAAGGAAGGAATTCTATTAGGGCCTCTTCTTTGAGAGAATAAGTTAAATGACCATGAATAAAATTGCAGCAAGTGCATAAAGCCTAGTGGGAACAATGGATGTAATTCAATTAATAATGACTAAACTTTGTTCCTCTGGAATTATGTGTGTGCAGGATGGTGATAAATCTCAAGTACTGAGTATGTTGCACATATTCTGAAATTTTACCAGAGGTCTTTCCCCTTAAAAACCAGAGGCAAGGAATGGTCAGATATGCCTCCCCATTTGGCTCACAAGGCTGTTTTAGACAAGTCATGCCCCTCTGACAATCAGGTGTAGGGAAAGTGAGGGCAGGGCTTGATGGAAAGAGGCTTTGCATAGGACTTCCCAAGCATCCAGCAGGCAGCTGATTGTCAGGCGTTTGAGAAGCGCTGCAGACAGAGCTGAGCAAGCCCTTTGAGCTATGGTAAAAGAAGGTGAAGGGTGGTTACGTCCAGTCAAAGGCGACTATGGGGTTGCGGCACTCAGCTCGCCTTTAGGTTGAGGGAGCCAGTGTTTGTCCACAGACAGCTTTCCGGGTCATGTGGCCAGCATGACTAAACTGCTTCTGATGCAATGGAACACTTGACAGAAGCCAGAGTGCATGGAAATGCCGTTTACCTTCCTGCCACAGTGGTACCTATTGATCTACTTGCACTGACATGCTTTTGAACTGCTAGGTTGGCAGGAGCTGGGACAGCAACGGGAGCTCACCCCATTACGGGGATTCGAACCGCCGACCTTCCCTTTGCAAGCCCAAGAGGCTCAGTGGTTTAGACCACAGCACCACCTGTGTCCCACCTTTGAGCTATACGACCCGCCCCCCCCCGTAGACCGACTTTGATAGGTGACAATCACATGACATTATGCCAGATGATTTACAGGTGGGTAGTCCTACCCAGCTGCCCAAACTGGCCCACGGGGGGGGGTGGTGGAGTTAAGATCTGGCTAGAAAGGTTCATCACTGGGTGGTGGGGTGGAGACCTGCCGCCTAATTTCATGGAGTAGGGAAGAAACCAAACGGAGGGAAGCAGGAGGGGGAAACCGCTGGTGTGATGGAAGGTGGGGATTAGAAAAGTCTCTCCAAGCAAACAGTTTGGCAAGAGTGATCTGTCCCTCTTCAGCAACCCAGTGGATGGGGTGGAAGGGAGAGAACGAGATGGGAAGAGAGAGAAGGGAATGGCAGACAAAGAGAAACGGGGTGGCCATGCGTACCTCTGGCATGTGGCCCTTGACATATCACCTCCTATGGAATGTCCTGTGCTTGTCTTATTTTTTTATGACGTCTATTAGTGGGGGGAGGGCTCTGCTTGTGTATTCATTTTTATAGTGATATTGACATATTTTGTATTTTTGTATAATTAAATGGATAAAAATAAAAGTTCTGCTGGATGTTTGCTCATATGAAGGCAATACTGTATATTCATTGAGGAGTGTTTATGGCATTTCGAATATGTTGCTTTTATGTTCTTCGTTAGCTGCTGCTTAATTGGAAAATCGCACACCGCTGTGAATCCTTTCCTTTCAAAAGGCTGACATACTTACAAATATATTTAGAAATGAGAGTTACAAATACATCTTTACATTTCTTAAGATGCAGTTAACTCCTCTCAAGCTAATATTAAATGACTGATTTTGGGAAGAATTATATCATATGATTCTGTCCATAAAGGAAGCTGCTGTTGATTCTTTAATGAAAATTAGAAAGTGGTGGCACAGTCCTTGTACTGCAGGTGGCGCTGTGGGATTTTAAAAGCCCTGCCAGTTGCGCCAAGTTTCCTGCTCACTGCATTTCAATAGGCAATTTTGCCAAGAAGACTTTTGGAAAAAAAAGCTTCCTCCAGGGTTGTTTATCAGGCTGCACTTCATTTTTCACTAGACCCAGCTCTATGCATTCCCATTTTAATCTCCAATGACAAATTATTGCAAAAAACAACAGCAAAGACTCCTTATAGGCTAAGAGATTTGTGATGGCATTAGCTTTTTACAAACAAGAGCCCACTTAAGCCAATGAATTTGACTCAGTAATTTTACAGATACACACACACCTGGTTGTATGGGGGGGGGGGGAGCTGCCAGCTGGGGGCAGAAAGCCATGAAATTCAAGAGACACGAATCTCTGATATGTCTCCAAAAAGCTGAAATGTAGCATTTTGACCATTCACAACAGCAAAAATGGGTAACACCATAATTTCCACGGCATTATGGAAACTTAATACCTGTAGGAGAAGAGGGAGCATGACTGTCGATTAAGCCCTGAACCATGGAAGTGCCTACCCGGGGTTCAAATGTGGCCCTAGCCATTATACCACACTGTCTACCCTCTCCCCAGGCTTCAGTGACACATTCCTGCCAGGGAAAGGCACTTGGGGTATGAGGAGTGTGACCTGGGGAAGGATGTGTGGCCTACAAAGAGTTTTGAGGTCCTGATAGGTGTTATCAGGTGTTATCAGGACCTCAAAACTCTTTGTAGGCCTGGGGAGAGGGTAGACAGTGTGGTATAATGGCTAGAGTCCACATTTGGTCATGGGCTTGGGGTCCCCCATCTCCTGCTCTAGTGAAAGCAGTTCTTGGAGGGAAGCCATTTAATGTTTATTTTGTGTATGTACACGAGTCGGTTCTGGCGTCCCCGGTGTACAGAGTAGAGATGCTGTATGAAAAAGCACCTTCAGGAAAGGACCCGGTGGATTTCGTGGTGCAGGCTGCGAGAGCTAGGCTGGTTGCTGTTGGTGGGAGGAGGAGGAGGAGAGATTGTAGCTCTTGTACATTGCTGAACTATATAAAACATTGGTATATTTGACACACACACCCCCAACAAAAAAGTCAGGCTGTACATGGCTGCTGAATCATTGAATTGAAAGGACCAAGAGGCTCATCTAAGCCCTGCAATGCACAAATCTTTTGCTGAACACAGGACTCAAACCCACTACACTGAGATTACGAGCCTCTTGCTCTCCCAACTGAGCTATGTTCCCTTTGAGATCAGTGCAGCTATTAAACTGGTGCCCTCAATTCTGTCTCCTATGTTAGCAGTTTTCCAACAATGGAAGAAAGAAGCACTTGCACCAGGCTTCTCCCTAGGAGTGCGTTCTTTTTAACGGCTTGATTAATTGAGCCCGTGTAAATTGAGACTTGGGCTCATAACTATCAGTTGGATTCCTTTTAGCCCCAGTGGGAACATTACAGCTTTATTAGAATTCTATGGCACCTGTTCAGGACGCCCTCCCTAGTTTTGCTCAGAAGATGAACGATGTTATCGTGCAGAGAGAGTAGCTTCCAACAGGGGCACAGAGTATGATAGAGCGATCCTCTGTTAAGTTTATTTGTCAACGTGACCTAGAAAAACTGATGTAGACCAGAGACTCAGTACCAGAAACTACAAGATGGTAATGATGAGTTCTATGAGGGTGTCTTCTTCTGCCCTTCAGGATTCCATCTCCCCAAAGATCTACACTTCTGGGGCATTGTTTATCACCATTTCTTCCTCTCCCCCTAACAACGGAAAGAGGGTGACAGAGGGGAAGAATATGCAGTAGGATTGTCATTTCCTCTTTAAAATAAAATAAATAAAATAAAATTATAACCCACCCTTTATCCAAAGATCTCAGGTTAGGAAACAATGCAAGCATCTAACGGGGGGGGGGGGGATCTCTCTCAGGTTGAGGGCTGCATTTGCCCCCAGAAGCCACATGGCAGGGGTGGTGCCAGAGACAAAGGCGAGCAGAGCAATTTTCACTTTGTGGGATAGGCTAGTTTCCACATACACACACACACACATGCACCTCTGCAGCTAGGCAGATTGAAAAAACGGTATCAGCCTGCAAGGACACATTCCGTTCCAGCCCAGGCAAACACACCCAGATAAGCAGGCACAAAAACCAGGCATAATCAGACGATATCAAAGCTCGTCCCCACTTCCCAGTTCCTTGCTTGAAAGTTCAAAGCACTGGAAAAGAAGGAAAGTTCACCTGTCCCTGAACTGCTGGATAAATAAGCTTGTGATTTGTCCGCAGGAATCTTTGGGTCAGGCAGGATCCAATGGTATCTTGTACAGAACATGCTTTCATATCTGTGGGTGGCCCAAAGCATAGTTTGAGGTGGGCATCACCAGTCACTTATTTTTCCTACATATTTTGGCTGTTTTTGGTGTGCACAGAGACCTTTATTCATGCCCTACGCCCACAGGAAGCTCCAGGGCAGGTGAGATGCCTTGGCATCTTGTATAAGACACTCTCCCCTTTGCTTGGGTGTATGATTTGTCCTGACATGAAGCATATTTTGGAGTGGGCACCCCCAGTTACATTTTCCCCCTACACACTGCCTGTTATTGCTATGCATAGATTCCCTTTGACCATGCAATGTGTCCCCATGTGTCTGGGCCAGATGGGATGCATAGTGGATTTGCTTGGGGGTATGATTCTTCTTGTGAAGCTGAGGCTCCAATACTTTGGCCACCTCATGAGAAGAGAAGACTCCCTAGAAAAGATCCTGATGTTGGGAAAGATAGAGGGCACAAGAAGAAGGGGATGACAGAGGACGAGATGGTTGGACAGTGTTCTCGAAGCTACCAACATGAGTTGGTCCATGGGGTCACGAAGAGTTGGACATGACTAAACGACTAAATGACAACAACAAATGATTCTTCTTGTCCCAAAGCATATTTGAGGGTGGGCACTCTCCATTACTTATTTTCCCCCTACATAAGTTAGCTATTTTTTTCTTTTTTGTCTCTGCCATTGAGTGTGTGCCATGCACCCACAGGAACTAGTAAAAAAAGGTAAAGGTAAAGGACCCCTGAACAGTTAAGTCCAGTTAAATGGGGGTTGTGGTACTCATCTCGGCTTTCAGGCCGAGGGAGCCAGCATTTTTCCACAGACAGTTTTCCTGGTCATGTGGCCAGCATGACTAAACTGCTTCTGGCGCAACAGAACACTGTGACGGAAACCAGAGTGCACGGAAATGCTGTTTTTGGTACCTATTTATCTACTTGCACTGGGGTGCTTTCAAACTGCTAGGTTGGCAGGAGCTGGGACCAAGCAACGGGAGCTCACCCCATCGTGGGGATTTGAACCGCCAACCTTCTGATCAGCAAGCCCAAGGGGCTCAGTGCCACCCCTGTCCCTGCTACAGGAACTAGTGCACACTAAGTTACTATTTTTTATGGTTTTGTGATGTCACCATGCACTTATGAGCATTTTGCAGTCATGTTAATTTCAATTGATTATCTGCATTGTTGTGCTTGAAGGAGGGAGTCTTCTGATCCTGATATAAGACATGGGGCATCCCAGCATTTATTTGGGGTTTCAGGGATTACTTTGGAGTTCAGGTGTCATGGGCTAGGAGTCAGCTTCACTACCAAAATGATTAAGGTTTTAAATGACAATTTTAGGTTATATTTTAGTGATCAAGATTTAATATATATTTTTAACTGACACTATATCTGAATTGTCTCTGTTATACCTAATTGAAATCCAGTGTATTCCTGTTGTGTTTTATGATTTTTCTGATATTGTAAGTGAGCCGGAACTGGTCTGTGACCGTAATAATAAAATTAATTAAAAGTCAGCTTCACCTGCTGAACAGCAGCCTGAAGGGGGAAAAGGAGGAGTGACTCCACCTGCAACTGATCAGCCTTCAGTGACACAAAGGAGAAGGTACTGATGAGAACCAGCTGGCTTCAGTCTGCCTAAGCAGAGCTTCCAGTAGCCTTCAGTTGCTGGTAACAACGCCTGTAGCTCCTGGCCCTACCTAGCTGCTTCCTGCTCATCTTGACCCCATGATCGTCAGGGTCCCTGACCCCTAGACCATCTGCCCTTGGGACTGGACCTGACTTTGGATGCTGACTCTGTCTCCAGGCAAGTACACCTCAGGGAGTCTTCTGGTTGGCTGGCCTCCCACTCCACTGAGCTCTGCAGGTTGTCGCTCAGCAACAAGACTACAACAACAGGAACAGATGGGCTTTCCTTCCTTTGTAGTGTTTTGAGCTTTCGAGCAAATAGGAAGTAGGGAGCCAACTTGAACACCACCATAATCAGGCCCTGTACACTTGGATGCCAAGAGGCCTTCAACCTGCAGGAGGATGCTGCTAAGTCCCTGCACTGATTGCATTCTGAATTGCTATTATACCTGTTGCCACACAACTGTGCCACTATGAATGTGCAGAAATGGAGCTGGGTTGCAGCTATGGCAGACTGCGCAGCATCCCGCCGTTACTTGCGCTCAGCAGGAAGTTGCAGTAGTAGCTCCCCAGGAGTCCTTGAATTCAGAGACTGCAGCAAGCAAAAGCATTCAGCAGATATATGAACAGAATGCCAGAAGAAGAACAAATCTCTGTCATCTCCTGTGATCGCTGCAATCACAAAATGGGCTCAATCAGGCCTCGCTTTTGAGCTGATTGAGGGCTAATTTAAGTGATGCATGAAAGGATCCTTGGCTTCCTCAAATGCAGAAGGTGCTCCAGCTATAACCTAACTCATTTCGCTATGCAAAGGCCAATTATCTACTCATAGCAGAGACCGTGCCTTCCTTCCTTCCTTCCAGGTAAGCCATTGTTTGCTTTGCTATTCTATTAATAAGAACCTTTGAATACAGACAGTAAGGGTGGAAAACAGTCTGCAAGAAATGAACAATTATTGAATGGAAAGAATAGCTTTTCCTGTCTGGACACAGTGTCCCAAACCAAGAAATTTTTTATTTTAAATTGCGGAAGTTTTAACAGATCAGTCGTGCATAAGGATTGATATATTTTCATGAATCACAGATATGAGTTCGTTAGTACAGATGTAACAGTCCCACACATTGCTAAAAACAAAGAGCCACATGTACTCCCTTACCTTTGTGATACAGCGGCACCCTGATGTTAGCTGCAATTAACATGCTAACCAATAATCCCTTAGTTAGGAAAGAATGTATAATCCCTGCTCCGGATCTCTTAACCATAGGTGGGAAGAGGATCTTCACGTTTCTGCTTTCTCTGAAATTTAAACTGTCAGGCATGGTTTAGGGCTGATCTGTGCCTTTTCCTTTATGCAGCTGTGTCTTATTTATGTGGGTAGTGCAACAGCAGGGGTCATTCTGTTAGTGTTAAAAGTCACCTTGCCAAGAGGGGAGGGGTAGAGGAGTTGCTTAGGAACCAGGCAAAGTGCCATGATGTTCACTGAGGGAGTGTGTGCTCTGACTGGCTGCACAGTTCTTGAGGGAGTTTTCCTCTGTATGTTTGGTTGCAGAGGTGCCAACTTAAATAAAATACTGTGTGTGGGGCAGGGAGGTAAATCCCGCCCCTCATAATTGATCACAAGACACAGCACACACACCATTTGAATGGCAATGTCCATCAACTTGGGGTGGGGGCAGCCCCCTCAAATATTTTATGGGAGTGCGAAGGGACCTCAGCCCCTAGGAATTGGCTCCTATGTTTGGTTGAATGTCACCCTCTTATGCACAAGGCTGAAGGAAAAACGACAAAACCTTTCCGTTCCTTTCTCCTCAAATTATACACTGTTTCTGTTCAGTTTCCACAGTAAAGCGCTTTCAAGACTTTTCTCTCAGGACTCTCTACATTAAACGATTAACAAAGTCACATAAAAAAACATGTATATCCCACTTTTCCCCCATGAGCTCAATACAACTACCATATTTACTTGAATCTAACGCTCACCTTTTTAGGCCAAATTACGTTGTGAAAATAAAGGTGTGCATTAGATTTGATGGCACATTTACATTCGCCAGCAAATTCTTTTTTTGGCTTCAAGGTTCTGAAAAATTGAGGTGTGCATGAGATTCGATGGCTCATTAGACTCAAGTAAATACAGTAACAAAGTGAGTTAAAACAAAGTGAGTAACTTAATTCACAGAGATTCAAGCAAATTGTGAAACGTGTGAAAGGTTAACACATTGCGTAAAGCGCTTCAGAACAATTTGAGGAACAAATACCCTCTACCAAGAATGGAACTATAGCTCACGACAACTGTTAA